ACTGTGTGTGTGCGCCGCGTGTGTGCTTGCGTGCCTGCGTCGTTGTGCGTGACTGGGTGTGTATGTGTGTGTGTGTGTGTCGTGCGTGGTGTGTTGTGGTGTTCGTTGCGCGCGTTGTGTGCTTGCGTGCGTGCGTGTGTGCGTGCGTGCCGTGCGTGTGATGCGTGTGTGATGTATGTGCTCGTATGGTGTGTGTGATGCGTGGTGCGTGCGTGTGTGTGTGCGTGCGTGCGTGCGTGTGATGTTGTATGTGTGTGGTGTGGCAAGTAAGCGGGATTCTCATCGCTCACCTGTATTTCCCATCCAGGCTCGCCTCGCGCTAAATACTGCTGAGCCATGATCCGTTAACGTGTGAACTGCTTCGGTGGAACTGGATCGGATTACCGCAAGCAGCTTTCTGATGAAACCACTCGATCCGAATCGATTTCGTTTGCCAGTTGCTATTAGTTGGCCTTTTGGTCGCGAGAGTTGTAGAAGAAAAGCGTTTCGGGATTGTCTGAGTGGTCGATTAAATGCGCGTTAAACTTTCATTGCTACTTTGCCGTCTACTAAAGTCAGTTATTTTCGTGTAGAAAACAAACAAGCGTTAATAAAGTAATAGAAATCGAACGTTACAAGATGCGCTAAAGTCGGACTATTATATACGTAATAGCGTAAGATACCCAACATCAAGCCTAGGACGGTTTAGCCACTTAGAAAGTAGAGAGAGAAGTATATATATATTGTAGCATAATAATAGTATAAAATAAGTATATATTTCACGTGGAGAAATAGGTTTAAAATGTCGAAAATGACTAAACATAATATTAGCCGCGAATATGAAGTCTATATTGCTGGCTTCGTAAAGTATCACCGATACGCCGTATAAGACACCTCCGATGGTGCAACCTGCCGATCCATGTTAGATTCCAAACTCACCATGTACTCCTCGCACAGTGCGAAAACAAATTGAATAGTTTCGGGTAACAAAACGAAACATTTTGAACGCCAATATAATATTATATAGAATCTATTTATTATTTACTCTGATTATTATATATAGCATTATATACGTACAATCCGAATAATCGATCTAACTACATGACGTCGATTGCCTGTTATCGTATAACGATATAACTCTATCTCTATCTTATTATCTATCTATCATTTATCTATGCATCTATCTTATCTATCTATCTATTACTATCTATCTATCTATCTATTACTATCTATCTATCTATCTAGCTATTCTATCTACTCTATCTATCTCATCTTCTCTATCTATTCTATCTATCTATCATCTATCTATCTATCTATCTATCTATCTAAGTCTACTACTATCTATCTCTATTATCTTCTATCTATCTATCTTGATCTATCTATCTATCTTCTAATCTATCATCGTTATTCTATCTATCTACTTCTATCTAATCTATCTATCCATCTATCTATCCTTACTATCTATCTCTATCTATCTTATATTCTACTTCTTTTATCATTATATCTATCTATTCTAATCTATCATATTTATTTGCTAATCACTATCTATATCTATTGTTTCTATTCTATCTTACTATGTATCTACTATCTATCTATCTATCTATCTATCTATCTATCTATCTATATCTATCTATTCTTCTGTCTCTCTCCGGGGGGGTCTCCGTCTCTCTCGTCTTTCTCTCTCTTTCTCTTCTCTCTCTCTATATATATATATATAATAGTATTATATATATATATATATTATCGCTTTAATTGTTATAATCCGATCTAACTATATGACGTTGATTTCTGTTATCGTATATACGATATCTATCTATCTTCGTATTATTCTATCTATCATACTATCTACTCTCTCTCTCTCTCTCTCTCTCTCTCTCTCTCTCTCTCTCTCTCTCTCTCTCTCTCTATATATATATCGCTTTAATTGTTCTAATCCGATCTAACTATATGTTGTCGATTGCTTATCGTACTTACTAGTAGCGCTTGGTCGTCGGCCGTCTCTCGCTTTTCCACAGGCGCGGCAAGGCAAAGCTGACTGATCACAACCAGGCAAGCGAGCAGACGACACAGGCAGCCGCCATATTGCCTCCCATTCATAACGAAGCTGTTATTCATAGTATTATAGCTATCTGAGCTGAGGCAGCAAGGACGAATGGCTCCTTTCACTTTCGGTCGCAACCAGGCGAATTACGAGGAGTGAGAGTGAAAGTGAGAGTTGACTGAATTTATACTTTCACTTAACCAAAATGGCGTCTTGCATGAATGAGCGGACTTCAAGGTTTTGCATCCTCCTCCGCACGCGTTACTATTACGTTATGTAGGTCATTATGACTCGGGTCTACTAACCTACACCGAGCTTCAATATCCACGTTACTTTGCCGACGCTTGTCGTCGCGCCAGGACCTTGTGTGGCGAGCGTACCCTTGCCTCCTTACCCGATCACCTCACTCACTCGCACTCCACATCACGTACGAGTGCCGCTCTCCGCCGCCCCCGTATTCCGTCACGTTGTCAAATTATATAATAATGCCTTCTCTTATTAGATGGCAATGGATATAAAATGTCGATTATGTCTTATTTTTTGCTGTTATCATCGTAGCACGGCCGCCTGTGGGCTCGCGCGTGGAGGGTCGCTTTTTGTTGGAGCCGATACCGCGGCGGGTTAACAATGGATCAGGTTCAAACCGCTGAGACAGGGTCATAAAAGGCAACGCAACGTAGATGCGTAAATTGTTACGGAGCTCGACATAGTTCTTTGACATTAGCTGGTCACGCATAATGGGATGCGACCTTCTTGCTACCCTGCTGATAGCGGTGAAGGGCTTACACTGGCCGCTAGTTCATTACAAAGTTGCCAGTCCTTCACCTTCTCACCCAATCGGTTACATTCGAAGACCTCGAAATTCACTCTGCGGTTGCGGCGTAGCCATATGGCCCGACCTAGTGTTTGGGCAAGGGCACGCTGTCTAGCTCCCTCAAAGGCACATCTATATTCGTAAATACACGATACGATAGAAAAGTAACATGCGAGCATGCTTGTGACCTTTGCTTGCTAAATATAGGTTTAATATAACACAAATAAAAATATTTTTTCGCTGCTAAATCACATATTTCAATCGAATAGCGTGACTTAGATTGACCTTAAATTGTTTAGCTGCGAATTTTAAATTCATAGCAACGATCACGAGTCCATGGCTACCGATGTAATGACAGTATAATTGTATGAATTGCGAATAAAGAAGAAGGTTCTGTGCTTCCTTTGATGTTAACCCTGCCTTTAGCTATGCCGCCTGATATATACACACTCCAACCTACCCGTAGGTACACACATACACGCGCATGCACGCGTACCCGCACATATAAAATAATGCACGTATCCACAGTTACACATACACGCACACGCACGTACGCATACACTCACGCACACATCGATAGGGAATGCGAGAGCGAGAGAAATCAGAGACCAATGGGAAGAAGAGTGAAGATAGATCGTGAGCGAGAGAGAAATGACGTTGACGATGCTTAGCGGCGACGGGTGGACGTTGACGATGCTTAGCGGCGACGGGTGGACGTTGACGATGCTTATCGGTGACGGCAGACGTTGACGATTCTTTTGATGTTGAGTTAACGCTGACGATGGATGCCCACCGAAAACAGGTGCGTGCTACAGCTCTATTTGCTATAAAAATAAAACGTATTGCGATATAATTAAAACTCATACAATTCACGCACACTCGCCATTCGCACTAGAAAAAACATACTAATTTAACACTGACGAAGATTGTTTCATGTTAATTACAGAAAATTATTCCATATCAAATAATAATTTAAAGGGTATTATAAACGGTTAAAACTTCATTTTCAGTTTTTTTTTGCTGTTTGTTTATTTTTAACACTAAAAGTGATGAATTAATTGTTAGCTATAATGTTTACTATATTCTAGTAAGGGTTAGTGTTTTCCATTGAACCATGCACAGCATACTCGCATATTTTACCTTGCATGGGTCCATTGAACTAGATTCAGAAAAAAACGTAGGGTTATGGATAGCTTTGCGTGCGTAATAACGCCCTGAGGCACACAGAACAAACATCAAATACCCTTCTGCAGTCTACTGTGCGAGAAATAGACATTCATGTTACGTGTTTATGTACCCTACCTTTCTGACTGATATGTTCAGTGCCCTTTACCAAACGAACTTATAACAGCAAAGCAGGAACTAGACTACGAAATATTACGAAAATAAGCATCCCATATTTAGGACATCTCCCCACAGAAGCCCAAATAAAGCTACAATTCCAATATCAAGGGTAAAAACCACCGGAGTGGTAGAACATTGAACATAGACCCGTCAGGTGAGCAGTGCACCTCGAAAATAGATCCGTCTAGATTGTTCATTAATTACACTATCATTACCGGATTTCAGAGAAAAGTTGCGGCCAATATCTTCATCCACTAAACAGGTCACACAAACGGAACGCTACAAATAAAAACACAATCAGGTAACTTTACAATAAAAATCAATCAATAACTATAAAACGACATAAAATCCTGCCCCCTCGTTTTTTAAAACTTCTACTACTCGAAGTTCCACGACGAGATCCGCCGTACCTACTGAATTAAACACACTGAACCAGGGCCCCGTTGTCAGAAACAAAATTAGCCTTAACACTTCTCTTAGCACTAACTTTTGCTCATAGACTGCTGACAAAAACATGGTGAAGTTACGAATTTCTCACACGCAGTATACACAGCTCCGATCTCCAAGTCAAAGTTAATGTTAAGAATAATATTAAGACTAATTTTGTCTCTGACAATGGGTCCCAGTATCGAATGATCGACTACAACAAAATCGCGCTTGGCTGCGCTTTATACTTACGATAGAGATTTCGAATATTCGTAATGTCAGCTTCGAAAAGCCGCCGGATCTTGAACGTCGTCGAACTGTCGATGGACGGGTACATGACAGAGTTCTTGATCGTCGCATGGGGAAGGCCGAGCGCGTGCCCGAACTCGTGCAAAGCGATGAAGGGCAAGATATCCCCATCTCCCGAGTTACCCCACCGCTCCTCATTGTCGAAGTGTATGCTTCCGTGGAGCTTCTTGTCTTTCGTCACGAACGGGTAGAACGCATGCGCGAACTCGTTCAGCGGTCCCGAGTCGAACGGCTTGTTGTCCCCGTGGCGTTTCTGTAGGAAGCCTAGTTTGATGTCGGCTTCCTCGTTATTTCCCGTCACTTCGGTTAGAGTGAGGATGGCCGGCTTGGGTAGGTTCTGATTGATCGCACTCATCCACGTGTTGGCGGCCCATTGAAATTGCCTCCTGTATAACAAGTAGCGAACGTGCAGAAAGGAATCTCTCTCGCCGGCATGCGCGAACATGCACCTACACCCGCGCACGCACACGCGCTTACACCCGCGCACGCACATGCACCTACACCCGCGCACGCACACGCGCTTACACCCGCGCACGCACATGCACCTACACCCGCGCACGCACACGCGCTTACACCCGCGCACGCACACGCGCACGCACATGCGCTCACACACGCGCACGCACACGCACTTACACCCTCGCACGCACATGCGCCAACACGCGCTCGTACACGCACTTACACCCTCGCACGCACGCATGAACTAATGCGTAAATGTGTGTAGGACGCAAATCATAGAAAAAGCTAGAATAACTTTCGGGTCATAACCGATTCGCTTGTTCGAACATTAACTGTAAATGGAACATTGAACAGTGTTTATTTACCTGATGTCGGAGTCAGCACGCTTGGAAGTGGTATTCACATACCTCCACTTCAGATCACATTTAAACCAGAAGCGTTGGAAAAACGCACCTAAAATAGATTTGTTATTGTTACGCATATCTGGAAATGTTGTAGAACCAATGTTACAGGTAAGTGTCGGCTCAGTCCGTCTGGACCGACGATGTGGTACGCCGTTCGACCGTCGGCCACTAACTATGTCTGAACTATGTCTAAACGCCTGCAAACGTAGCAAATTACCTGCTTCTTCCACGCCTTCAGTTTGCATCACTGCTCACTCCAGCTTTCGATATCAGGCAGATGCAAAATGCCAATGCATGGAGATGCAGTCCATCTTCATATTAGGCGCTCTATGTTAGGCGCAGCCATATTTTACTAATTTATGGGCTAGTTACTAATGCTGCGAGTGAATATTTCTGCTACTATTTCGTCGTCATGCTTTAGCAATTACATGCCCACTTACGTGCTTTTACACCTTTATATCTACTAAACAGCCTATATATATATAGTACATATATATATATATATATATATATATATATATATATATATATATATATATATATACATATCGTGGGCTAAGGTGGCGGCACCAGTGTCATCAATCTTGGCATTGACAAAATGCGAACTCAAACAATAGCTGCGAATAATGAAAAATTATGCGAGTATCAAAGGCCAGCGAGGTGCTGTTATCTTTCTTTTAAATATGTGATTCTTAAGGCACTGACTTTCACCGGCCTTGTTTCGCTGTTTACGCAGTCTCTCCCTCTCTCTCTCTCTCTCTTTCTCTCTCTCTCTCTCTCTCTCTCTCTCTCTCTCTCTCTCTCTC